CTAGGACAAGCTGAAGTTTGGCAAATACTTGGGGCACATCCTTTCCTCACTAATTTCAGTAGAGCTGTGTACAAGTCATAAGTGAAATTCTCATCCTGAATTTTTATAGTTTTGTGTTATTACATATATTGTCATACTATTCATCAATATACCGATCAGATATTAGAAAAGCTACCATACCACAGCTGCATGGGTGCCTTAGGTTGTTTTTGTTTTTAAATTTTTTTTAAATTGGATCAAAAGTGTTGTATCTCAATGTTCTAAGTCATTATTTTGGGTAATGTGTTATCCATGTTCCCTGTTGGGTCATGTATGCAAGATAACTGACTGTTTAGCTTATTTTGTTTATAGTGAAATAAAATTATACACACATACACAAACGCAGCAATTTAACACATTTTATTTCATTCCTCAAGCTTTGTGGAAAAACTGGTCCTTAGAGACAAACTGGAAAAGGTTTGTGGAAATAGAAGTACTTTTATTCCCATCTGAAGATTGCCATATTTCATGATATTTCTGTTGTCATTGTTGTCCCCCCGCCAAAGCTCCTTTTATCTGACATGGGGGAAATTCACAGAACTACATTGGAGGATAATTCCACCCATAACATCCAATTACAAAGTCAACCACAAATAAGGTTTTAAAAAATACATGATTTTAATATTAGCCCGCATTAGTTGAATTCTCAATACTCAAGACTTAGACCTGCTTCAGACATCATTCGATTGCCAGGAACATGTTTTGAACTTTCACTTCTTCCAAATTCCCTCAATCCCTAGCCTCTGGCATGCTTCTTTTGCCATGACATCTGAATGATTCAAACTATGATTCAAACATTAGGGAAACCCCAATAATGTCCAAGTACAAAGATACTTTTATCTCCCTTAGGCTACCCCTTCCTAAACAGCTAAGTGATGAACGAATGAGAATGCTTAAGTAGGCACAGAAACTCTGATGGAGGCGCTGGGGGCGGGGGAGAGAAAAGGCAAGGAGAAGCAAGGGAATATCATGGTAAAGGGGATAGCTGGTTAATTGCCATTCCCAAGCAGGAATGCTTGCAGGTACTACATGTCTGACCTCTGATCCACAACTAATATTCAGTATCCTTTTGTTTAGAAATGCAAGGCATCTACAGATAGATGATAGTCAGCTCATTCAAGTCCTCAAGTAATTGATCAAAGAACTGAAATATATATAATTCCAGCATCCACTGAATGATAAACTTATTCTCAACTAGGAACTAAAGAGAAAAATTAGTAATCTAAATCACATTAAGGAGCAAACACACCATGCAGATTTCTGAAGTTCAAATTGGTCTAGAAAGAGTAGCATGCTCCATGTTCTCTATCAGGATACCTTCATTCTTTCAAAGTCTGGGTTTCATTGCAAAAGAATTCTGTCTTCCAAACTAGTCACAGAAAATTCATATGCTATTTACAGTCAGCCATCAAACAGTGATTTGCTGCTGTAAAGGTACATCTATTTAATATTCCCAATGTATAGACCGAATTAAAGAATTTCAGCAATCCCCAACCAGATTCCAGAGAGTCCTGACTGCAGCTCTTTCTAGTGATGGCATTACTCCATGCTTGAGTACTTCTTCATTTGTTTCACTATCAACTGACAGGATATTTAAACTGTAACCCGATGATCATATTTGATGAGCTCTCTTATTCATAGGAATCTGATCTTATGCAGTCTTTTATTGGCAAGCTGGATTCCGGTAAGGTGCATGAAGTCAGCTTGACCAATTGATCTATCACCCAACTGATGGCAATACTTGTCAGGGATGTGTTCTTTCTCAAGTTAGCAACACACTGACCATGCTCAACCTCTAAACACACATTTTTGAAGACAGGTATTCATGCTATCTCTCTTCTCTTATCAACCAGTAAGTCTCTGCTTCCTTACCCTCTTGAAACCTAGCACAATAATATAATTAAGGGAAATTAGAAAAGAAATATAGATATAAATATCCAAAGCACTGTCAGAAAGAAGTTCACCTTGTTTAGTAGTGTCACAACTTGGAATTAAAAAATGAGGCAGATTCCCTATCATATTTTATAAAAAGGAGACACTTTCAAAGTTTAATTTTTTTTTGGAAAAGACAGAAGTTCAATGGGCACGCCCTGACATGACTTTCTGGAGTATTTTACATAGCATCATGTCACTGAACTTCTACACAGGACTAATAAACACTACTAAGGGGGCGGGGGGTGAGGGGGTAATACTGATGAAAGCCAGTGTGGTGTAGTGGTTAGAATGTCAGACTAGGACCTGGGAGACTAGGGTTCAAATCCCAACTCAGCCCTGAGCATGGATGCCCAGGTCTCTAGGGTGGCACAGTTAAAGCTAGTGCACCAGCTGCGCCTGTTTCTGGGCACAATTAAAAGTGCTGGTTATGACCTATACAGCCCTTTATGGTTTAGGTCCAAGCTATCTGAAGGAGCGCATTTCCTCATATGAACCTGCCCATGATTTATGATCTTTCAGGAAGGCCTTCTCTCGTTCCCACCACCCTCACAGGCATGCTTGGTAGGAACATGGGAAAGGGCCTTCTCATTGGCTGCACCCAGACTTTGGAACTCCCTCCCTAGCGAAGTCAGACTGGCTCCCTCCTTGCTGTCCTTCCACTGGCAGGTGAAGGTTTTCTTGTTCCAAGAGGCTTTTGAGAACTGACTGCTTTTAATGAGAGGACTGGTGCCGTGCTGTTTTTATTGTAATTATCTGTATGGTTTTTATAGATTTTGCATGCATGCATGCGTGCGTGCACACACACACACACACACACACTTTTAATTTCAAATTCCATCCAAGTTTAATTTTTAAAATGATTGTTCATAGCTGTTATTATCTATAAGCCACAGTGAGCCTGTCAGGGAAAAGGGTGGGATATAAATAAATATATGTACAACTACAACAGCAACATAAAAAGCTGCCTTAGACCAGGTCGGATATTTGCCCATCTAGCCTAATATTACCCATTATGACTGACAGTAGCTCTCCAGGGTCTCATCACTTCCTGCTGCAGGAATGGAGAACCTCAGGTCTGGCGGCTGAATGTGGCCCTCCAGGCCTCTCCATCTGGCCCTCAAAACTATCTACAGCTCATACCCCTCTCATTGGCCCTACTTTGCACCAGAAGTGCTTTTGCCTGACTGGAATATGTCCTTGAACTCTGATGATGCCTCTTGCAAGTCTGGATGGAGGATAGGGAGGGCTGTGTGAGTACATGTAGTAAATGTAGTGAGTACATGCCTACTATACAAAGTTTCACTAGCAGCTCTGTCCACTTTTGATTTTGGTCATATCCACCACTGGCACAAGGCCCTTAGAATATTGCCTAGAAGGGAATGTGTCTCTTAGCTTGAAAAGGGTTCCCCATCCATGCCTTACTAGATACTTTTACCTGGAGATATCAGGGATTGAACCTGGCAGCTTCTGCCTACAAAGCATGTGCTCTACACTATTGAGTAATGGTTTTCTCCCCTGGAAACAGATAGTAGTTTGGGAGGGTGGGAGATTTAAACTGGGAATAGTGTAGATAGCAAGAAAATGGCCCTATGTATTTCAAAGGATTTCGAAGTCTGAAAGCAACAAGAACCAGGAGCTAATAAAAATAGAAATATGACATTCTCATCAGCCCAAATCAGCAAGCAGCATGGAAAGCAATTTCATAAAAAGCAGCAACTTGGCAGAAGCCCTGTCCCAGGGTTGGTATTTTTTGTTTTGTTTTTGAGTGGGGTGCTCCTCCCCCCCGGCCCACCACCGCATTTTCTGGTCCCATGCCCCATTCACTGTATTAAGGCAGTAAATGCTACCCTATCCTGCATTTTAAAAGGTTTTTGAATAAAATTATATGGACTCTGAATTCCTTACGTTTGTTATGTCTTCATTCCATAATTTACTCAACCATTATTAATTCAGGAAGAGCAATATCACAGCTTTCCATTTAGTAGTAACTGTTTTATGTACTAATCATAATTAGTCTGTTACTTAACTGAAAAAGTTACCATTGCTCCTATCAGTATAGTTTCTTTTTTTTTTTAACTGAAACATGCTCAGCTGTGACAAGTATAAAAAACTTGAGCACACTTCCCAAACTCAGTTCAATGTGCCTGCAAGTGCTGTGCCCATAATAGGTAGGGCTCAATCAAATCCCAGATATTCTCAGAAAAGCAACTGCACAGATTGTGTATAATTCCAAAAGCATAGACATAAGATTGGACACGTCTCTCAAAACAAAATGGTCAAATGACCAGTCAATCACATTTTAACGGTTGCCTTCCGTTAAACTATACTGCCACTGTATAAAAAATGAAACTTGCTAACCACATATTTTCCAACTATTAGCAAATCAAAACTTATTACTCAAGATATTTCAGTGTAGATTTAGGTATTTAAAGAGTTGTTGTTTAAAAAAACAACTAATATGTTCATCTAATATGAAGTTTCAATTGTTATTCTGTTGTAGAGGCAAGATGTCATGTATTCTGAAGTGCAATCTCATTTGTTACAGAAAGAAGAGGGTTCTACCAAATTATCATCTGAGCAGCAAGCTAGCCTATGCCTGTTCTTAGACGTAGGAAGGCTCATATATGGGAACATTTCAGAAACATCTCATTGGAGACAGGTGAGCTAATCCTGAGCACACAAACTGCAGGTGCTGTGGGGATGAGTATAAATGGTCTTACCCCTTGGCATCATGATAGAATCATGTAGCTTCCAGAACAGTATTGCTTTGCCAAGCATTTGACAATAGCTAATACCGTTAACAGCTCGTTATACTTTGTGAAGTGACCACTTTCTTAATCTTAGTTTAGTCCAGAAAAACAGCAAGATATAAGCCATAAAATAAAAAATAAAGATTGCTCTATTTATCAGACCTTACACCTCAGTAGTATTCTTGGATCTAGAAAACTGGCAAACATGAAGCCACACTGAGAGGGTATTACACAAGCTATAAGCCAGAAGACAGATTCACCAAAGAAGGTACTTACATCTGGATATTCTTTTACAGGCACATATAGTTTCTCTTGTAACTGTACAATAGGTCCCACAGCATCAGGTAATTCTGCACTTCTCTTCTCCGTGCTACCATTTAACGTGTCGTTATACATGTCTTTCCGTACTCTGCTAATTTCTGTGGGGAGAAATGTATACTTTGTGTTAATCTCAAGACATTACAATTTCTAAAACATTTATTTATCAATTTTATTGTCATCTTTATGGGACCCCAAAATTTATTTCAATTATAAAACAATTGGAAACTGAATACATATATGCACCTTTTAAAAACATTTCTGCTACTGTCAGTTATACTCCAGGGATGTTTCTTTACATTAAAAAAAGGATGTTGTAGTAAAAAATTTATAGATGTATTGACAAGGAAAACTTACAAATGTGCTAGAAGCTGTTAACTGCTCTTTATTACTGAAATATGTAAAGGGAAATAACCAAGTATTTCATGCATTTCAGAGAGTCCATTATTGAGCACCATGACAAACCATTTAAAGCAACCAGAGTGTCAATTTGTCTTTATCTTCATTCTCAAAGTTACTAGAAAGTTACTAGAACTATTACTAGAATAGATTATGTTTGTAATGTTCTATTAATGCAATTAGAAGGTACTCTGAGGTAGGAGAGGACATTCTGCTATATAATTGGTGCAGGGAAACTCATCAATCCCATTTACTACTTCATCATTATATATTTACTCTCTAAAAAATACTCAAAATTGATTAACTACAACTGGAAGTAAAGTTGTAAATACAAAACCTCTTAGTTATTGTTACCATAATATTTTACTTAAGTCCACCTTCAACTTTTAATTCAAGCAAAATACTGAAACCTCATGAACTATTTAAAGCTTTCAAAAATAAAAGTGTTTTTGCTTGCTTTATGAAATCAAATCCAGGATTGATAGGTATCATCCAACATCACACTTCCTCTCCTTATCACTGCGGGGCCCCAAAATCTGCTTCTGAGTGGCGGGGAGCACTCCAGAATAATTATGGGAGGTGGGAGGAAAGGAAGTTCCATTGCACAAGTGGAAACTTCATTGCACAATCAGGTGGGAATCATAGGATGTTACCGTACGGGTTCAACTTCAGAGGAAACTACAGTATAGCAAACAGAAAATTGCTAGGAATTCTAGAACTTCGTTGGGTTGGGTCCATTGAGATACACATGATCACATCAGGTCTACTGCTCAAGAAACAGTCTGGACAATCTTCTGAAACCTCACCTAGTAGTGATCCAATCATAAATGAAGGAACCAAAGCCAATAACCTATTTCCAGACCAATGCAACAAACCAAATATTCCAAAAGAGAAAATAACATCTACATGCTTCAAATGTGGGGCTAGGAACTCAAAAGGAACCATTTTAGATAACACTGACCAAACAGAAATGACTATTCAGCTCTAAAGTAATTCATGTCACACCTCACGTCATGATGAAGTCACAGAATATCACTGCTATGACAGAAATGAACCTTGCATTTACCAAGATCAATCAGCTAGATTTTCACGCAAGTGTTACTGTTTACTTTTCTTTTTAAAGGCCCACGTTTTGGCAAGTTAAACAGACACCCATGTGTAACATTAAGAACACAGAATGATACAGATCTCAGTAGCAGCCTCACAAATTCAAGGCACAGAAAATTATTAGACAACAGTTTCTCTAGCACACCTCCCCTTACAAACCTTACATCTGCCATTAGGGCACACTGGTCCCAACTCTTTCTCAAATTCAAACAGGCTTTCTTGCCTTGTAGTATAGAGAATTCTTCAGTGCCACAGACAACACATATGACTACTTACAGGCTGCTGAAATAAAGCTAAACAAAAATGAAACTTTAAATACATGTACAGGGTGGAGGGGCAGGATCTTCCTAAGTTACTAAACCAATGTTTTGGAAGCATCTCTTAAAGAATAATTTTCTGTCCCACTGCCCTATTCCATTTTTTATATATGTAGTCTTTCATTAAATTTATACATTCTGTTGGTATTCAGTACAACAGAATCTAATTAACTAGTAGTCACTACAGACTGTGGTGTAGAATATTTACTATTGTACCCAAAATGGAAAAGAATTTCAAAGAGCACATCCAGAAACATTTAAGCTTAGTAACAGTAATTTCATTTCTCTACCACAAACTCACATAAAAATACATCTATTCAGTGTACAGAATTCTCAACTAAAACCAACTTTAGACTGAATAGTAGTCTCCCCATGTTAAAAACCAGTGAAGTTTCTAAAGCAGTTTGGAATGTTTTAAGAAAGGGAATTCCACTAGGTAGCAGAAAACTGTTACATTATTTTAAGTAGCTCTTTGGATCACATACATTAATAGGATTCACTGCAAATTACTGTTTTCCTTCACACTCATTTCTCGTACAGAGCAGTTCGAAAGCACACCAGTGCAAGTAGATAAATAGGTACCGATGCAGCGGGAAGGTAAACAGTGTTTCCATGCGCTCTGGCTTCAGTCATGGTGTTCTGTTGTGCCAAAAGCAGTTTAGTCATGCTGGCCACATGACCCAGAAAGCTGTCTCCTAGGTCCTAGTCCAACACACTAACCACTACTGCACAACAGATGTGGGTTTTTACTTATTTCTGTGTTCTTTGCGATTTAATTTTTTCCTTCCATCAGTTTCCTTTGTGAATCCAGTTCATAGTGGTTAGAATGACTGGCTTGTCATATGAGACCGATAATATATTTTTAACTATTTGGCAGCATTTCAATTTGGCAGCAAACTCAATTTCATTTCATTTTCTATTATAAAAATGGACCTGCAGGGTTGCAAAGCCCTCACCCCAACTGCAACACTTGTATCAAATGGCTTCAGCATTTAAAGCAACATCTTCCATACACAAACAGGTTTGAATCTAAACAGACTTTCAAACTAACATTTCAAAATTGGTATAGCATTCAATTCACAATTCATAGCAGAATATTTTAAAACTTGAGCACACTGATTAGTTGCTAAAATTCCACAAATTTTACCCAGGGCCCACACATTTTGGAGGGAAGGTACATTTTAACAGGGCCTGAATGAACACGACACAACTGAGAACCAGAGACTCAGATGTTATGCAGTACAAGGCCTTATCACCATATTGCAGCAGCAAGCTGGTCAGCAGATGCAACTATGAAGCTCTGTTTAGTACAATTTTGAAACAACTTTCAAACATCAGTCCTGAAAGTGCTACTTGCTGAGTACTCCAAACACCAGCATTGCGAGCATCATTACCCATTGATACCACTGACTGTTTTATATCTGCAGTATATCTGACAAGATTTTAACATACTATAGTTTAAGTAGCATTTCAGACATTAGTAGCAGAGCAGGTATTTCATAAAACATTTATTGTTCTTAAAACAGTAGCATTCTTCTACTGGGACACCTTGTAGAAATGTTTTCCAAATTTTAGCTTTACCTCAAGCTCCTATTGGCTATTACTATTCTCCTTTTTAGTACTAGCAGATACAAGTGACACAATGAAAACAAAGCAGGAAGCAAAAACTCAAGCCTCCATTCCTACAAAGAACTAATAAGTCTTACAACCTCAGCCAAAGTTCATGGACTGATAGTATTTTATTGCTCAGGGATCATTTTCTTAGGGGGAGGATTGGGAGAGGGATCTGACAGTGATGTGAAGGGATAATGGGCATTGTGCAACAACAGGGCCTGCATGGTGGTTGCATGAAGGAAGTGTTGGCTGAGATTGAGCAGGGAGAGCTCGCAGGAGGGCACTGAGGGAGGAGCAGCTGGGTGCTGCAGCCTCTGGCAAGAGCCTGAGGCGGCGCCTCTTTCCTTTCCTCCCTCTTTCTCGGTCACCCTCCCCCCATTTAAATACTTATAAGTTTATGTTGATTAAAATCGTTCTTCATTTTAAATATTGCATTGTTTTTCCTGTTTTTGTGCACTACAAATAAAATATGTGCAGTGTGCATAGGAATTCATTCTTTTTTCCCCCCACATTATAGTCCGGCCCCCAACAGTGTCTGAAGGACAGTGAACTGGCCCCCTTTAAAAAGTTTGAGGACCCCTGCCTTAAAACATTCAGGGAAAACAAAAAGCAAACATTGTTGTAGTACACATGCATTTCACCTTATTTTTTGTGTGAAAATATTACCAGAATATGCCCCTTTCAACACTTCCCCAGGATTCATCAAAGAATAATTTAAATATTTTTCTTTCACAGAAACACCTATGCCATCTGTCTTCAATGAATATCTACGAGAACGATGGTTTGATATGGATTGGGGGATGAAGAATGTTGCATCCAACTTTCTGTAAGCACAAGGAACCCTAGCACTAGGGAATTCTGTAATACATGTCAAATTGCTTTGGGTAACTCCCAGATCAGGGAACTGGGTTGATTCAGAGGATTTTGGAGTTGCCCAAATTGAAGCAGGGGTCTTCTAAGTGACTTTAACTGAATCAGAGTCCTCCCAAAGATTCCTTACTGACAGAGGTAAACAGACAGACAGATTCAATGTCTGTAAAAGTGTCTGTTTTATTTTGCTCCATATGGGGAAAACCATGTAAGGAGGAAGAGGAGTGCAGATTTGTGACAGGCAGCTCTAGTTTTCAACCAATGAATAATTTTACTAATGCTTTTTTTTTTTTTTTACTTCCAATTGCGGTGCTTATGGGAGGCATGTAGAAGAAATTTATCAAAAAATGTTCCAGTGTTTTTCATTGCTTTTTGTTACTGTGTCTGGCAGCAAAGGCAGGAGTAATCCCCAGAGCCTTAGTATTAGGAGTTTGTAACTCCCTTTGTGGCTTTTTTCAGAGTGACAAATACAAGAACTACCACCATGACAATACGTATCAATGATTAGCTATTTGTGACTATCAGTCCCTGCTCACTTTGCTCTCAAACCCCACTCCCCTAAGACCCCCTACCCTACCCCCACCTTACTCCTCACCAAAGCACCACAGCGCAGACTGCCAACACATCTCCCCTGTGGAATGACCCACGCCACCTCCACAAGTCAATCTCGCTCACCCTCTCCAGCCCCTTACTTGAATTACCCACTGCCACAAGTCCACCTCACTTACCTGCTTACCCACCTTACTCACCCCACTCACTGCCATCAGTAATAGGAGGATGCTTGGAAAAAGCTG